AAACTTAGAAAATTTTGGTGACCTTTATTTAGAAAAGATGTCTTAAATAGAATATAAAAAGGAGGAAACATAAAAGAAAAACCTGATAAACTAACCTTTATCCAAATAAAAAACTTGTGCTCTTTAAAAGTTACTAAGAAAAAGAAATTGAGAGCTGCAGATGAGAAATCTTTTGTAAGATATGTATCTGATAAATGAATTGTATCCAGAATATATTAAAAATAACTCAAGTAATTCAGTAATAAGAACACAACCAACTCAGTTTTAAAATGGGTAAAAGATTTGAATAGTTTACCAGAGAAGATACACAGATGGACAAAAAGTGCATGAAAAGATGAGCAAAATCATGAGTCATTAAAGAAAAGCAAATTTTAAAAAAAATTTCTTCATGTCTACTGGGACAGCTAAAATTTCAAAATTAGACACCTGACCATATCATGTATTGATGAAGATGTGAAGCAACTAGAGCTCTCAGGTTGCTGTGGGAAATCAAAATGACCCAACTGTTTTGGAAAACAATTTAGCAATTTCTCATAAAGTTGAACATACTATGTGACCTCTTCTACATATTTTTACCCAGTTCCACTCCTAGGAAGTGACCCAAGAGATGAAACTTTAGTCCATATAAAAATCTGTATGTAAATATTCATACCAGCTTTATTCATAACAGTAAAAAATTGGAAACAACCCAAATGTCCATCACCTGATGAATGGATGGACAAATTGTGGGATATCCATAAAATTGATTCTATCCAGTAATAAAAAGATCAAACTAAGTATTATGCTTTGTGACAGTGGTTGCCAGGGGCTGGAGGTAGAAGGAGATGATTGATTGTACCCGGGGCACAGGGGGATTTTCGTGGTGATGGAAATGACTTTTATCTTGACTGTGGGTGTTATATGACTGTATACATTTGTCCAAAGTCATGGAACTGTGTGCTTAGAAAGGGTGAGTATACTTCATAAATTTGGCACATAGGAGAGGATTCTCAACCTTCCTCCTCATTAAAAAAAGGCAAATTAAAAACAGGATTTTTTACACCTCTCAGATTGGCTAAGATCAAAGTTTTGAAAATTGTCAAGGATTTGGGGAAAGAGTCACTCTCAAAGGTAATGATACAACCTCTGAGGGGTAGTTGAGGAATATCTTTCATAATTAAAAATGCATGTACGGGGCGCCTGGGTGGCTCAGTCGGTTGGGCGTCTGCCTTCGGCTCAGGTCATGATCCCGGGGTCCTGGGATTGAGCCCCGCCTCAGGCTCCCTGCTCTGCAGGAAGCCTGCTTCTCCCTCTCCCACTCCCTCTGCTTGTGTTCCCTCTCTTGCTCTCTCTCTGTCATAAATAAATAAAATCTTTAAATAATAAATAATAAAAATGCATGTACTTTTTGAACTGGGAATTTTACTTTGATGGATTTTTTTCTATAGGTAAGACATGTACAAGGAAACAGTAGTTTGTATCATTGTTTATCATAGCAAAACTCAGGGAATAACCTAATTTCCATTAATGGGGACATTATGGTACAGTGAAGTACTACTGTGAGGTAGATAAATATGTGTGCTCATGTGGAACACTTTCTCAAGATACCGTTAAATGAAAATAGCAGTGCACAAAATGACATGTATAGTGTACTTGTGTTTATGTTTTTTGAAAGCTGTATGTATTATATACTTGTGTTTGCATATGCTGTTAGAGATAGCATACACATACACAGAACTGTTATTAATAATTGCCTCTAGCACAGGAAAGGTTTACCTTTCAGTGTTTATCTACTTGTTTTGTTTGAATATTTTTTTTTGCCATGAGCACGTATTATTTTCTCAGTTAAAGAGAAAAAATTAATTTGCATACAATTATAATGTATTCTTAGGAAATTTAGGAGTACATAGGTGGCTGGTCCTGATCATTTCCTCTAGAATGTCTGTCGTGTTTTCATCACCAACATAGTTCTGGACTAGATGGATCTTGCTGATCCATCTGATCACTGTGATATTTCTGAGACTATTCCCTCTTGTAACCACTGCTTCCAGTCTGTCTCCTATTTTTCCAAATTCATGTAGGAGTAGATTCATGAAGAAATACATTCATTTCACTTTACCCACAGGCTGCCTTTCTGTACGTTGGTTTGATCCTCTAGCTTAGGTCCGTTTTACAGTGCAATGCAATGGTCAGGTGACTTGGTGGGGAGAAATGTACTGCCTTCAGAGGATAATTGTAATTATGTCTTTGCATCATATTTGGGTGCCATCAGGAAGCTTCTCTAAGTGAGGGGGAGCATCGGTAAGGGAGGTGTGGAAATCGGCAGCACTTTCTGAAAATTAGGTGGTTTGGGAGGCTGTATTCAATTTAGTTTGGATATTAAATGAATTAAAATGGATGTGCTCAAGTTCTGAGCCTTGCCTCATCGATGCTATAAAAAGCCCTTTAGCAGGGCTGTAATCTGACTCTCCTCTCGGTAATGTTACACAATATTCCTATGGTTACAGAGCCCGAATAAATGGAAGCTAATCATTAGTTTGCTAAATGTGGTTCGTGGAACAGTTCATAACTCCCAGACCTGCCAACTGCTTGTTTAGTGTCATACTCATTCTATCTTGGGTAGAAGTTGGTTTGTTCCTCAGAAAAATGTACAGTAACGGTTGTCTCGCATCCAGGAACCATGCACTATGGCAGCTCTCCATGTGTCTTGGGTTGGGGAGGGGAAAAAGTCATGCTAAGCAAAGTTTTTTGGTACATACTCTTCTGCAGGAAGAAACCATTAAGGGAGTGAGAGATGACAAAGCAAGAAAAGAATTAAAGCGGCAGAGGTTTTGGTCATTTGGAGAATCACCATGTGGTTGACTTTTCAGAAATTTGCTGTGATGGAACTCTATTCTGTGACCCTAGAAATAAAATCACTCTCTTTAGGTTGTTTGTTGTTTGTTCATGTGACAGGACAGATTTCATTCATGCCCAGCGTCACCTGCAAACACATACACGTGCTGCCTTTAGGAAACAAACATTTTGTGAGCTGGGACCTTCTCTGGCTCATCTAATATGTATCAGGCAGGGGAAGGCCTGGGTGGCGCAGTTGGTTAAGCATCCAACTCTTGATTTCAGCTCAGGTTGTGAGATCAAGCCCCGCAGAGGCTCCATGCTCAGCACAGAGTCTGCTTAAGTTTCTTTCTCCCTCTGCCCCTCCCCTAAAATAAATAAATAAATCTTTAAAAAAAAATTAAATGTATCGGGGAACATGCTGAGAGCAGTAGGTATCAGCTGCATTTGTGCCCTTACCTGGGATTAGAGCCTAAATCCTTAATCCACTCATGATTATTTGGACTCTTCCTGCTTGAATGAAAGTGGGTTCTTTCCTAATAAATAGAAAATATATTGTGCCCACTTGTGACTCATTCTTCCTTTCCAGCTGAAAAGGTGTTGACTCTGTAGGAGGAACCTCTTTTTTTCTTTGAGACTGTCCAGAAAGAGTCCAGTGGCTGTTTCTGTTTACCTGCTGTATCATATAGTTCTCTTTGGATTGTAAAAAACAGAAAACCTGACCTCACCTGGCTTGAGGACAAAGGGAATTTATTGGCTCGCATGATTAAAAAGGAAGGGCAAAATACGAGGGCTCAACCCATATCATCAAGCTCTCTCTGCTTGTTTCATCTCTGTGTTTGTCTGTCAGACTTCACTCTTGGGCTCTAGGTGGTGACACCTAGGACTGTTGGATAACCTTCCAGGTATAAACCCAAAAGGAAATAGCACAGAGCTTTTCCCCTGTCTCCTAGAAAGGTCCTGAAGTTCCCTCTGATCCAACTGGCTTAGGTCTTGGATTCTCCCTGAACTAGCCATGGAGTCAGAGAGATGCTGTGCTTTGATTTGGTCTGTCTGACTCTCATTTCCCAACCCTGGAAGCATGGAGCCTGCCTCCAAGCATATGTACTATAGGAATGGGAGAAGAGGGCAGCCCTACCGAACATGAGGTGCTGTAATAGAAAGAAATGGGAGTGAGAGCTGGGAGGCAAATCACTAGTCTTGCATGTGAGAAAGCTGGATTCTGTCTTCACTGTGCTGAAAGATTTCACTTCTGATACCGCGTCATTGGTGAGATGGGGCTGTGTGCTACCCAGGAAGACTAAGAGTGATCTCTTCCTTTATAATACATGTGCATTTAAAATACACACATTTGTTGACAAGTCCACACAAGAGGAGACAAAAGAGGAATGATAAGGAGCCAGCGTAATTATGGAGGTCCCCATTGCACTTCTTGGCTTAAGGCAATTTATAAAAGTACATATAAAAGTAATGGAATCAAGTCATAGTTCAGAAAATATAGAAACAACAGTTCTCCCCCTCTAACACAACCACTATTTTACTTTTAGAGTATTTCCTTTCAGCCTTTGTTCATACAAGTTTCTCACAAACTTTCAAATCTTGGTTTGTTTGGGTGTTTTTGCTTGACATTGCGTGATAATCTAGGCATTTTCCATATTGTTACATAGTCAGCATTATCATGTAAATGCAATACAATTTTCTGTCAGGGAGCCATGCCAAAATGAATCATTCTTCCATCATTGGACATTTAGGTTATCTCCTTTTAAATTTTTTCTGCTGTTACAAAGAATTAGCCTGTATTAAACGTTCCTGGGGTATGTAACTTTGGTCTTGCTTTATTTTATTTTCTGAGACTAGATTGTGAGAAGTGGGATTACTGCTTCAAAGGGTATAAACATTTTTATGTCTCTTGATACATATTGCCAAATTGCTTTTCAAAGCTGTTGCATTTTATCTCTTCTGCCTCCAGCAGTTTATGAGAGGATCAGTTTCACTGCATTTTTGCCAGCAATAGATATTTTGATTTTTAACCGTATTCTTAACTGAACCAGCAAAAAAATAGGTGTTGTTTTTGTTTTAATTTGGATTTCTTTGGTTAATAGAGAGGCTGATGCTTTTATGTACTGTGCTTGTTTTTTAGCTATATTTTCTGCTCCTGTTTACACATTGCCTTTTCTTCTTTTTAGACCCCAAAACAGTTTCTGAAACAGAGACCGATATCTGTGCTGAATGGGAGATAAAGACGATCACTAGTGCTTTGAAGACCTACCTAAGGTAGGGACTTTCCATTTGCAGGGCAGGGTGCCAGCTTGTTATCATGCAATCAGGAAGAAAGCAGTTTTATTGCCAGCCTCCAAAGAGCTGTTGGGTGGGTGTTTGGATATGGAAACAGCTTATGTGTGGGTGCAATTAGCTCAGCTGGTCAAACCAATTGTAAGTCATCCATCCTTGATGGGTTGCCATTTGCAGGGATGCCATGAGTGATTCAAGAAGCTTTGTTCTTTATGAGAAGTTACTATGATAATTAGCCTTACAGAACCTAAAATACGGTATTTCCTTAAATCCCCAAATACTCTAGTAAGAAAACAAGGAACCACATATCTCATTCTGTTGAAAATGCATGATTACATACATATCCTATGTAATGATTTTGTGCATTGCACACATAGACTATATTGCTGATATTGGTCCTTTAAATATGAGAATTTATTGGATGTCCTTTTTGACTCCTTCTGCTTATATAGGAGAACGTTATTTTATTGGAGAAGAGACTCTTTCTCTTGTAACAATGTACATGATAGGACTTCTGTTTTCTGCCCCTCCCTTGGTTATTAGGGAATGGGTGATTCTAGCTGCCTCCATATCAGTTTCATGAAGTGACTGAAACTTATCCTGAACTTGAAGGGTAGGTGAGGGTCCAGTCTCAAACCAAGAGGAAAGCTGTACTCATGAATTGCATAAGCATTTGTTCAGGTTTTGTGAAGATTCACTTGGCTCAAAAACAAAGGAGGAAGAAAGCCCCAGAAAAGTAATTGGTGATGCAGGTTTTATTGGCTATTGGGGAATTGATAGAAAGATCTTGAAGAGTAAGATGTAATGCAAGTGATGATCAAGAGTTAAATTAGGGGTTCTGATGAGAATAAAATAAAACCTGAGCCAAGAATAATTTATAGTCTGTTGCGAAGGTTATTATTTGGACTGTCAGAAAAAAGCTGAAGTTTATAGTTAAACACACTCATTAAACATACTGATTAAACATTCATAGCACATATACTATCACTGTAGTTTGCACAAAACCATACCAGAGAGGTTTGTATTTAGCACTTAATTTGTGCATGTTGATATTGATTAGCTAACAAACATTAAGTATGAAACATATTTTTAAAAAACTAGATAAAATTTGATTATATCGTGCTTAATGTTAGGGGTTCTAGCCCTAACATTGGGCTAGAACTGGAGCAACACTCGCTAGTGAATTTGCCACAAAAACACAGAAGTCTCCCATAGTGTTTCCAGATGAACTGATTCTGATAACAAGCTGCTGGGAAGACAAGAGTTTAAGCACAGGTAATTACAAATGTTTAGTTAGTTGCCTTTTTCTCAGACACATCTTAAAATGCTCTTGTCAATGGGTGAGTCACTGACTGAAAAGGAAATCTCTTGGTTTGTGCTAGACTTTCACATTAGCACTTTCCTAGTTGTAACTAGGAAACGTAGTTGTATCCATTCCCTTAAAGAAGAAAGAGCATGAAAATGTCACGGGAAATCTCAGGACCCTTTCAAACAGGAAACTCAGTTGGACTAAGTTGAGTTGCTATTGTGTCCCTTGATCTTAGTCTGTATATAGTTGGGCAGCGTCTACGCTGTTATTTAGAGTCTGTTTGTTTTTATTAAGCTGACTGGTGTATATCCTTTTATCCCAGAATGCTTCCAGGACCACTCATGATGTACCAGTTTCAAAGAAGTTTCATCAAAGCAGCAAGTAGGTGGTTTTTTTTTTGCCAGAGTTTTAAGGGGGGAAAGGAATACATTTTTCTATTTCAAAGAACAGTCAGTATCCCAAAATAAATACTTTCTACCCTTTGTATTTTGCATGTAAATACCTACACACATGCTCACGAGATGGACACAAAATAGAAATGAAACCAAACTGGGATTGTCAAAGGCCTGCTACCATATTGAATTTACAGTAGAGGAGAGAAACTTCAGAAGTGTGTTTTTGGGGTGAGGGGAGGAAAGAAAAGCAAGTTTGGCTTTCTAATTTTGATTATTGGAGTTCTAACTCCTTGGGTTTTTTCCTAGCCCTTGAGTAGCATTTTGCAGAATGAATCAGACTTTGCACATTACCTAAATTGAGCATTGGAAGTGTTTCCTTGAATATGACACCATTTATATAACTTCCCAGTCCTCTTTCCATCATGGCTTCCATTTACAGCTTATGATCATTCTTCAGCTATATCATCCAGGTCCCTTGCGTCATATTACTGGTATTAAAATACATAGGGATTAGGTGCAAGCTACCCTAAGTATACTGGAATCTGTGTACGTGGGGCAGGCCTCCTGTAAGGGGCAGTAAGATTCTCTACCAGATTTAAATCTGGCATGAATCTCCACAGTGCTATTATGTCAATAGTCTCTGTGCCTCTCCCTGTTTCCTTTAAGCCTTCAAAGTTTGTTTGTCCTGGTAGCTACTACTGGCCCAATTTAGTAGTACCTAATGTTCTGGTGGCCTTATCTTCTCAGAGTTGTCTCCTTAAAAGAGGGAGGAGAAAGACTTGAGAGAAAGCTGGGAGTGAAGATCGTGTTTATGTGATTTCTTTCTCAGAGAAATTCCAAACCCATAGCAACCATTCTCTAATTAAACCTCACATCAGTCCTAAAAATAGGTGTGGTGAGCACTCCCAGTCTATCTCCCAGGGAAGTGAAGCCACTTACCCAAATTCAACCAAGCCATGGCAGGGTTTGATTAAGGTGGCAGGTGGGCAGAAAGATTTACATATTTTATCAGCAATTTCTTTCTTCCACCAGGCTGGTTGGTGTCACACATGACTTGAGAATGACTGGACATTGCCTTTGATTTGTTGGATGCTGTCTTGAGACGTTGTTTTGATATTCGAGACCCTTGTAATGTTGTTCATGTACAATTTGTTTGTCATTTGACAAGTGCCCATAAAGTTCCTTCCTTCCTTGAAATGAAGCCATCATTCTAGGAAGCCGGCTGCTCCCAAGTTTCTGTTTGCTCTGAGTGTGCAGTTGACTGGCTCCATTTCTTCCCGTCATCATTTTGGCTTGAATTTTTTGACAGTCATTTTTTTTAATGAACTGTTCCAGAAAGTACCATTAAAAACACTGCTAGCTCTAGCCATGAGTCCATAGAACAGGCTCTTAAACCTTTGAGAAATCCTCCGTCTGTTAGTGCCCAACCTTTGGTTTCCTTTGATTTTGTTTTGTAATCTGATTTGGCTGTGACACTGATCAAATATTACCTTCTTCCTTCCTTTGCAGAGTTGGAAAACCAGGAGTCTCGGGTCTCTGAAATCCACAGCCTTGTTCATCGGCTCCCAGAGAAAAATAGACAGATGTTACAGCTGCTCATGAACCACTTGGCAAAGTAGGTTTAAGACTGAATGCTACCCTCTTCTCACTCCTGGAAAGTTCATGTCTTAGCACTAAAGCTGGTCTCGGTTCTGCTCAGGTTTCCCTCTCCCACTATTGCATCAGAAATGCTGGAGGCTTAGGAAAGAAATGTGTGAAATGTTAACTGCAGTGGAAACAGCAGTAAATGCCACATGGTCCTTACAGAGGAGGCTGGGGAAGCGCCCAAGATACCAGGCCACCAGGCAGAGAGGTCAGGGGCCTTTTGCTCTTGTGATGACCAAGGGCAAATAGGAATATGTCCTCCTTGATAACCAGGTCACTAAGCCCAGTTTTCAGGAGTTGTGTGTTCTTTTGATGATCAGAGACAAATAGGAATATGTTGTGGGTTTATAGACCTGGGATTTGTAGTAAAGAGGCCTGGGTTCTATAGTTGACTGTGTTCTTAAGAAGCCACTCAGTGAGCCCTGGACAAGCCATGGACCTTAATTTCTTCATCAGTCAGATTTGGATAGTAGGAGCCCCTTTATTTATCTACAATGTCAGTGCTTTTAAAAGTTACCTGTGTTAAAGCCTAGGGAATAAAGAAACTATCTTTGACAAATGCCTACTTGCCCTCTGAGATAAGCGAGGCATTCAGCATGGGGCCTGATTGTCCTGCAAAGAATATTTACTCTTGGAATGGTTTTGAATTTTTGTTTATTTACTATTGCTGGACCGTTTTGGGAATGGTCTTCCTGACTTCCCTTGCTGTGTCAGTGACTCCATGTGCATACCTTCTAATCTTCCATTGACTTGGATGAATGTTCTTGATTGGAGACTGGAGTATAAAAAAAGGACAGAATGTAACAGCTAACTTAAACCGTTAAGCCGTACACTCTATGGAACTGATTGATGTGTTATGCATTTGGTCCTTACCCACACTTTGCTCATGCCATTAAGTCATTTCTTTGGGATAAGTTGATAGTCAGCTGAGGAAGGTTATGATGGTTTGTTTTCATATTTCTACCAAGCATGTTGATACTGCCTTGTGGAGAGAGAGTGTATGTGTTACCATAAAGATTTCCGCAGATCTTAATTATGAAGAAGCAAGAGTGTTTAGCGTGTTGGTCAGAAGCAATTAGGCAGAGTCAAGGATTGCTCTGTTAGTGGTCAAATGTCTCTCTTGCCGTGCGGTATTGGGACTGCATGCATGTTCAGAAACAATTAAGCATAGCAGAGAACGTGCAAGCTTACAAGGGGAATGCCCAAAAAATGTCAAAGAATCCTGATGAAGTGTGTTTAAAATAATGAGAACTGGATTTGAAAAGTGACTCCAGATGCTATGAGATGACAGTTTGGTGCCTATTCCCCACAACCCAGTCCGGCATTTGTTCAATGGAAAAGCTGGTTTAGATCTTAGCTACAAAACTTTGCACACTTGAAGGGCCTTTACTGAAACAGAGCAAGTTCTGGGTACATACTCTGGCCAAGTGTGTGTGGAGATGCTCGATAGCTGCTCTGTTTTGGCCACTAGGCTTTGAGCCTCCGGGGAGCAGCTGGAAGAGAAGGCTTCGGAACTAGCTGGGAGCAGTGGGCTTTCCAAGTTGTGGAATTGTGATGAGAGCTTAACAGGACTGAGCATGACCAAGAGTAAACAGTGATCCAGCGGACTCACTACTGCATCTGCCCATTTGTAAAGTGCCCTGAGATTGTTAGGAATCTTAAAAGGGGGAAGAAAAAGATTTTAAAAAACATCGAAAACTGTTAAGGTAGCTCTTAAACACTTGAGCCTGTTTATCTCTTGGGGGATGGTTCACTTTCTCCCTCTTGTCCACCTCTGTGTTCCAAACCCCATTAAATTCACTTCATCTTTGTCCCTAACCTAACGAGGAGTACAACTGGAATATGCAAGTGACAGCTGTGACCTCGACTTTTTGCCTTCTAACAAATTTAAATCAATTTTGTTGCTGGAGTTACTTACAGTATAGCATTTATGGAGCATTATGTCTTGTCTTTGATTCACAATCACAATAATTTTCTTTGATTCTATGAGGTTATGTGGCATTTCTTTGTTCATTTAATCCTTAAGGAATCTACATAGAGACCATAGTGTGAGTTGGTCAGAGCCGATGTTATGACACACAGACTTAAATTCTCAGTAGGCTGTGTTCTTGGTCTCAGAAGATCAGAATTAAAAGTGTCTTGGAGGAGATGGGTATAAATGAGCATTGCTCATTCCAGTAAGGAGTATTTATTAGGTCTGAAAAAATGCTTTGGCACCCAGAGGAGTTCTTAGATTCCATTTAAATGCTATATTCTCATTTACAGCATTGTCCTATTTTAAAATTGACCAGGAAGGGATAGTTAACTTGGGATAAGGGGTTTGTCTGATTCCAGTTTTCTCAGTTTCAGACTTACTCTCTGATATGCCTGAGCTATTGTTCCTCTGGTCCACTTACTTAATGGTCAACTTCCTTCCTAAGTTTTGATTTCAGGGCTAGATCTGCTAGAAAACCCATGTTCACTGCTCTCATTACCTATCCTGTATGCCCTGTGCATCTCTCTATCGTCTGGTTCAAAGAGAAGATACTTTGTATTGTGCAATTTTTAAAGTGCTCTTTTGAAACTTTCTAAAATTGATTTCTTTTAGCTGTGGAGAGAGAGTTAAGACATTTTATATTTAATCCCAAGTAGAAATGCATTCAGAGGGAAAAAGGTCTTAGGGGAAAAGGCTAAAATCTCAAAGCCTCCAAGCAAATGATTACCAGGGTGCATCCAAATCACAGAGCTCTTGGGTTTGTTTCAGACCTCCGAGGGAACATAAAAATTATAGGCAACTATGCACATATTTTTGTTGTTCCAGCTTAAATCTACTATGATAATTAGATGTTTTCTATTTGGATCCTGGAATCTAGTATATAGTCTGGAGTCATGTGCCTCAAAGCACAGCTAGACTCACCTGGAATGTTTGTTTACAATTGATATTGAGGGACCCCACCCCTGCTCTACCAAATTGGACTCTCCTTGGGAATCTGTATGTCTGGTTTATTTCCCAAGTAATTATGATGCAAAGTCTTTTGAGAACCACTAACCAAGAGAAAGGGCCATATGCAGGGATTTTCTAGGAGAGAGAAATGATTTTGAGTGGAAAGGATTGGCATTTAGGAAGGTAATAGAAGTAGGACAAAGAAGCTCAAAGCAGTGAATTCAAAAAGGAGATTTCATAATCAAATTACTAAAAAAAAAAATCCAGTTTTGATTTCCCATATCCTTACAGTTTGACATTGCATTAAATTGAGTGTTCAGCAAATGGTTTTGTTTTAAAATCATGCATAAAACATTTTTTTTTATTTTGCATAAAGCATTTTTAATAATAAAATGGTCCCCAGCTAGCCCCGGGATCTTGTGGAAATTAGTCAACCTCTCTCAGCTTCAGTTTTCTGAGTTCCCTTCTAATCATGTGATTCTGCGTTTTCATCAGGTAAAAGGAGTGGAGAAGACAAAAAATTCCCAATATTATAATTGTAGAAAGAAATAAGAGTAGATGAATAATAAAGACAAATTTCATGGTAGTTTCCTAATGTTTACATATTATGATGACTCCAAGTATGTTGCATATCCTCACACATACCATTCACAGTGACTCATCATCATTTTATTACAGTGTTTATGCTGCATTGGGAGGATTTCAAAGGACTCTCCATACATCAGGAGTGGCTATTAAAAATACCTTTTCACAGCTGGTTTTCCCAAAACACTTATTGAGAAATCAATCTTAGTCTCTTCTTTTTTGAAGCAACTATTCCTTTGTTGCTAGGATGTTGTGAAAGTGGTAGAGCCCTTTTCTTGCTTCTACAAAGAGGTATTGTATCCTTTAGGATGCTCTGGGCTGTAAGAAACAGAAAATCCAATTCGAAATGGCTTAAACAATAAAGGAATCTATTTCTCATTACACAGAATCAGCCTTAAGGGTTGGTTAATTTCTTGGCTCATGAAATAACTCAGGTTATTTCTATGGTGTTGCTCACAGCCAGCATCACTGTGCTGTCTATGTCTAGGTCAGTGTCATAAGATGTTGTGTTGCATCCTTGCACATTTGTGGTTGTCCAGAGGCAGAAAAAGCATTATTTTTTCTTTGCTTCTCTTTTTAAGAGCTATGATGATATTTTCCCCAGAAGTTCTCCAGACTTCCCATCACATCTTACTGGTTTGACGCAATCTCCAACAAGGGGAATGGGGCCACCATGATTTTTTACACCAAACAGGACTTCCCTGGGCCATTGGTGGGAGGCCTGGATATCAGTATAAAAGCTCTGAGTAGGCAGTGTCTAATGCTTACTGCAAATAGTCTTGATAAAATAAGATTCAATGGAGAGCATTAAATCCATTGAATGATCTTCATGTGGTGTGCTAACTCGATTAAGACATATGGGACAGATAAGGCAATTTGGGAGGGAAGAGGAATACATCTGAGTATGGACACACATACATTAAAATTCTAAGATTTGAGGGGTGGAAGGTGAGAGAGAAATGAAGAGGGCAAAATCAACTTTAGTCTCATTGCCACTTGCTGATTCCTATTGTTCTTTTCATTACCCAGTCGTCTCATGTCTATTTGGATGATCTGTTACTTGTGGCTTTGCAAAAATGACAAAATTCTGTATATTGCAGAAATCATAAAATGATTTGGGGCAAATGCTTGGCATACAAGTGAGACTTTGTCAAAATATGTAGACTCCATTGTCACAAGTTATCAAGAGTTAAGCATCTAGTGGCTTGGCTGTTTTCACCTTTCTGTGACTGGAGTATGAGTACTTCCAGGCATTCCTGCCAATCAAGAAGGATGTATTCATATTTCCTTAATGATCAGAAGGAGAGTGAATTGGGTTCATTTACAAATGCCTGTGGTTATAAAGAAAGTCATTGCTAGGCCTTGGCACCAAGGAGGATGGACCGTGATGGTTAACTAGCATTCTTTGAAGTTCTTAAAAGAGGGTCAAAATAAAAGGAAGTGGGCATGGATACTTGGCATTA